CACATAGTCTCATGTCATTTAGATCAGTGGTTCCCAACCCTGGTCCTGGAGGCACCCCAACACTGCACGTTTTTTTTAAAACTCACCAAACGTCATTTGTGTTCAAAAAGCCCCCGAATATAGCTCTGAAGGGTTAAACTGACAGCAAATCTTTTTCCACAATCATCAGAAAGCATTAAACAGTCACTGAATGCAACTCATGGCAAAGGACCAGAACTGATGCTGGGTGCCATGCAGACTCTGAGCCAAGCTAAATGACTTCGAAATTTGCAGTTTCATCCTCTAAGCTCCTGGTGTGACCGTTGAGGAAAGCCCCAACAGTCTTAGCCACCTCAAATGACCGCATTTCAAATCAACATTGGGCTTCGATGATTTTCTATTGCAAATAGATGTGAGAACACATAAAATATACATGGTTGGTTGTCACAAATAAAATCCAGACTAAAAAATTATGCAACAGGCAAGTTTATTATACAAAGTAAGCACAGAACTTCCTTCTTTTCTTTCTTTATACATACAGCTTCGACCAACCAATAATTTAAGGTTAGACTTAGACCACAATATTAATGGCAACTCTGCATGAAGGTGAGAAAAACATGCACCATCCAGCCTAGGTAGCAACAACAAGCCTCTCTTTATTGGCTTACCTCTGCTCAAACACAAGGCAGGAAGCAAGAGCAGCAGGATGAGACAGCATGCATGCATGCTCTCTTTTATGCTACACACCGTCTTGTTTCTCCTCAGACAGGTCACCGAACGCCCCTCCACTCTTCTAACCCCTTTGCTTTCTCTGAGCATTGCAGAGCGTCTTGCTTGCATAATGGGTATTAGGGCAGGAGAGACGCCTCAGGGGAACGGTTCTTTCACGCACACACGCCTACCTGTTTATCAAGGCACACACCTTTCATTGTCCCAAGCGGACAGACTTTATTGTGTCATTATACACAACAGAAAAGGGCTACACTCCAAGTCTACGTCGCATATGCTTTAGCAAAAAAGAACAGACAGAGAAATTGGTCTGTGTAATGTTAAATGAAATTTCCTTCCCCTGGAGCACGATACAGGCTGCATTGTGCTGGAGGTGATTCATGCTTTCATCATTCAAGGTGATGCTGGGATTGTTTTCCCTCCACACACTAGAGATCTTTCTTAAACCAAGGAACTGATAAATAGTATTGTATGAGCACCACATTAACCTTTCCAAAAGCAATAAAAATAGCACCAACAATTTCAGAAATATATCCCTCAAAACAATGCTATACTGTCAATGACATAATGGTATTTTTGTCCTATTAATTTACTCAAATTCAAATACATTTCATCCATTCAAAATATTCAGATTTTTTTCTAAACAATCAATTAACTTGGATACACCTTAAATATATAAGACGAGATATACATCTTAAATAGGCCTATATAAGATAAGATATATATTTAAGATATATTTTACAGACAGACAGACAGACAGATAGATAGATAGATAGATAGATAGATAGATACGACAGATAGATAGATAGATAGATAGATAGATATTTATATCTCCTAAAAATACATTATTACACTCATATGTATTAAAGTTGTAAGGAAAATACATCATTACTTTATTGGATGGTTACAACACCCTATATTTAACCAATTATTTTTCTATCATTCAGTCAAAACTGTTTGAAGGAGATACACTGAGGCGAATGTTGATACCAGGTGTAAACAGGGATTTAGAAGGATCACTCATGCTTTACACTGAACGAACAACCTCTCGTTTTAGCACACCGGACTCTCGGCCATTAGGTGAGCACCAGCCTCACATGAGAAGCCCAAGATTTATCAGGTCAACCAGGGTGCAATGCACAAAAGACTGTGCAGTGAACTGTAAAAGGCCAGCCACACTCTAATCGCTCCAGCCACTGGCATGATAATGCCCTCACACATGCTAACAATCATGCCATCTCTAATTTCATTGGTGGACATCAGCTGGACAGGTGGCCAGTCAACCAGTCGTTGGCTTCACTGTCAAAACAGCGGCAGTTCAGGTCCGCTGGAAAGCCCCCAAATAAACAGTCTGCCACCACCTCCACCCCTCGCCAAAAAAAAAGGAAGAGAAAAAAAAAACAGCCAGGGGATGTCTGTCACCTCGTTGGCTGTGTGCAAAGATGACGAAAGGTACCAGAGACAACAGAATGTGCACTGTGCACTTCATGTATATATTATTGTTCTAAAACGTAATTGACGGGAGCTTTGGTGATTATAATTTCACAAAATGTCTTAAATATACCTAAATAACATTGTTCTACATTAATATCCTTATTACAATTACAGCCAGAACTGAACAGCCAAGAGAGAATTTAAGATATCTCTTAATGTGTCTACTTTCTGCACCAATAGTGTCAGAATTGCAAAAAAATAAATAATAATGACTGTTTTCAAACAAGTTTCCCAAATACTCCCCCATCTGTCATTCAAATACACATCATTGCCAACACTGCTGTCTCAGCCTAGACGAGAAGTTTAAACTGAGTATTGTTTTGAAAATGACACACCGTTCATACTTTTCAGGGAAATTAACATAGCAAAGGTTAAAGGGCTGTTCATACCAAAGACTAAAAGTTTTATGATGAAATAAAAAGCTTTTAAAATCATGCTAATTATATGACAACAGAAAAGTCCAAGCGGAACAATATCACACAACAGAGTCACTTTTAGAATTATTTTTTCCCAGCTTATGAACCATAAAAACTTTGAGGGCTAATCAGAACCACATAAATTTAAAGAGCTTGAACATTTAGGCAGACGACAAAACTGTAGCGTACACTTAAAATAAATAGAACATAATTGTCTGTTTACTCATTTATTGTTATCTTGGTAAGACTGGTCTTTATTTATAGTTGATTCTGTCAATTTAAGTGGGGCAGTAGTACTGGGCGGTATACCGGTTCATACCGAATACCGGTTTTTATTTTTGTTATGATATGAATTTTGAAAATACCGGTATATGTCACTTAAACAACGTTCGGAACGCGACACTGTTTGAAAGGGGTGTTGCACTGTGTTGAGGGAACAGCTGTATGTGTTACTAAGTGTGAAAGTTCCGAAACTGAAGCGTTAGAAACCTGTAGAACTAATAGAACGTGATGACACAGAAGAACTCATCCACAATATCCACAATGACCGCCACAAATATCCACCGCCCCCTGCCATCAGCTCCCGTGTCTCACACACACAAGCGCGACTTTAGCACTAGATTTAGCAACTTTCAGACCCTTTTAGCGGCTTTTTTCCATAGAATATTCATACTGACAAACCTAGCGACTTTTTTGTATAAACCTTAGTTTATGGTTCAGTTGGAAGATTTCGCCAGTGCTGTCCCGCAAACGCGAGGTCTGACTTTCCCGCAGAAGTGTCACCTCTCTCGGCGTCTGTTCTGTGCAGTGAGCGGCAGAGAAGCACCGCAGCCGACTCGTCAATAAATGAGTACAAAACAGCGTTTCCTAGCACCTGTCGCTTACTGATTGTTTGGAATTATAAATATGAGCGTAGTTCGTCTGTTAATATCACATGCACTTTTTTGTTTGTTGTTTTTTTCAGTTTGACTATTTAGTGTGGTATTTTTTGACAATATTCACTCATCATGACAGTAAAATAGGGCATTCTAAGTCAATATACTGCAGTATTTCCTCTCTCAATCAGTAGAAAATATGGTTAACACCCGGTCATGCATGAAAAAAAAATACCGTCTTGTACCGTGAAACCAGTATAACTTTGAAAAATGCCGTGATATAAATGTTTGGTCATACCGCCCAGCACTAGGCAGAAGTAAATATTTTGTGGTATTAGAGAAGGAAAAAACATCTATTAAGGTGACTTCTAAGTCAGTTCTTTTAATTAATCGTTCAAAAAGACTCACAAACTCAACAGTTACCAGAGTGAATCAGTCTAAAGAATCCTTTACTGAATCAGAGCAGCCACTGAATAAACACTTAACTTACTGAACTACAAGTTACTTAAAGTGATGTACATCACAAAACGAAATAACTGTACATAAGGTTTGTGAAACTTAAATACGCTTTATTACTGACTTGTTCATATGTCGCTGCGTAGTTAAGTATTTGCAAAAATGAGTGTAATAATATTTAACTGAATTACATAAATAAACGTTTTAGTATATTGTTATTCTATTTCATAATTCAGGGGTGGACGGGATATTCCCGCTACAGACACACTATTCTGTTGGAAACACTGCCACAAGCGTTCAGCATTGATGCCCAAGTGTGCCACAAGCAAAACACTGCAGTGCTAGAAATTCATTCGCGAAAGGCTCCGATTCCTAAACGTTTCCATGCTTCTTTTAACAGTCGGGGAGCTTTAATGTCCTTAGTTGCACTTGCCATTAAATAATCATTCGTCTGCACCGAGTGAGCGACAGCAGATCCAGCGGCTCTGTTTTGGTAAGCAACACTTCACAATCGAGCACATTTCCCTGCAGACAATCAATAAAGCACATCTGACCACCGACAGAGCAACAAAAGCACACATTCAGATGGGAGGTGTTTTCCACTCCAATCCCAAACGAAACAAAGCCACTGTACTGCATTACTATAACCATACAATCCATGTGTACTAGGGACAATCCGTTAAATGGGGGTTTCCCTATACAGCGATGTTGTTTATTTGGTGTTTTCAAAAAATTCCAATTATATTTTGGGATACTGCGTGGTTAGAAAGTCAATACAAAACGGTCTGGCTGGCCCTCAACTCCCCATGCAAACACACCGTGATGGGCTCAATGCAACAACCCCACAGCACACGCGCACTTCACTCAAAATATAAAAACACACACTCCGCGTGCTCTTATGACGAAGCTGAACACAGAAATTCACAGAACACAGTCGGCACACGTGCAAAATGGAAAAGAAACCCGCCATCTTTTCATTAAACCCGTTCAAATATAAGAAAGTGTGTGAGAGCAGCTGAACTCCTGCAGCAGTCCCGAATCTCAGACTTACCCTGTCACAACAGGCGCCATCTTCCACAAACTCTCACCAAAACTCCAAGACTCGCGAGATCCTCTCTCCCTGACCCTACCAGTCGCCGAGACAACAGAAGCAGACTGGAGACTCAAGGAGCGAGGGAGAGAGAGAAAGGGGGCGGGTGACGAGGACAGAGCAAGGGGGGCAGGGTGAGTGAAAGAAAAGGGCAGACACCACAACAACAGGCGTGGGAAACTCTTCTGAACTCGCGAGAGGAGGAAAACTCTCACCATACAGCTTAGTGAGCGAGGCTCGTGGCATCGCGAGATTGGTGCGAAGCGCCGCGGATGGATGTTTTACAGCGCTGAAACAGTGTTTACCCGCTCATAAATAACCTCCACAGGCGGAATTGGAAAGACATTTTGACGTTGAAGCTTGAGATTTCCCAGGCTCCGGTCTGATAAGGTTTGCTCACGATATACAGTAGTTATGGAGCTTGTTATCAAACCATTAAAATGACTGTAATGTGCAGAAATACAGTCACAAGCATATCAGAAACCTTTACATTTCAATCGTGACTCCTGTGTTCACCCCAAAAATTTAAATTCTTATCATTTTGTCAACTTATTGACTTTTCCGTAATGACTTTCTTTAATGGCATAGTTGGCAGAATGCCCATGCTGCTCTTTTACATACAGTGGAAGTAAATGGTATCCATGGTTGTAAAGAAAAATTAGCAGTGATTAGCAGCCTAATGGTGTATTCACACCAGGAATATCCACTAGTTCACTTGCTTTGGTCCGGACTAAATACAATGTTGATCTGTTGATAATAGTTTCCACTACAGATACCATTACAAACATTACAAACCATCAACTTTTAACCACTAAAACAATTAAAAAATGTTTTTGTAGTGTGTTTTGGGACATATTCCATTAGGATTTATTGGTTTTAACAAGCCACTAATAGAAGGTGACCAATAGAGACCCACAGGGTCCATTACAGTTTCCAGTAAAACCAATACAATTCCCATTAAAACCAGTAAAACCATTAAAAAATTTTGTGATGGTGTCCATTGTTTTTTTTTCTTCAGCAGGGTGCCCTTTTTGCAAGTGAACCATAAATTGCAAACAAAACCACACGTGTGTTAAGGTCATCCATTCATTGGTTCATCCATTCAACCGTACTAAAGTTTGTTTGGAAGCGGACCGAGACCACCTCTTCAGCTAGGTCTCAGTACGGTTGCTTGGGCCGCACCCGAGTGCGATTGCTGTATTCACACCTGCCCAAAAGGGAACGAACTTGATTTTGATTCAATCGAACTAAACAAGACAGGTGTGAATACACCCTACATTTCTGACTATTCCTTACACAAAAGGTATGTTTGACTTCGTCTAAGGCTGAGCTTACCAATCTGTGTGATTTGCTGCTTGCAGTCAGGGGAGGAGTTGTCAGAGCTGTCAAGTTGGACACTTTCTGCTTCCCGTAATGATGCTTGTGCAGTGTTTGCTTTCTTTATCACAGGCAAAGTGGATTAGATGTTATATTTGTCAAATTAACAAACCAGAAACACTTTTCATTCAGGAGTTTAATATAGTGCCTGTACGAACAAGTAGGATGCTCAAGATAAGCCTGTATTATTTAAATTCCAATATTGTGGGATGTATGTTGTTGTCCATTTTAATTTGATAGTCATGATACAGTATAGCATGGAGATTATATGAAAAGAGTTTTCACTGTCATTATTGAGGCTGACTAATTGTGAAGCAGCTTGTGCAGCCACTCTGGAGAAATGTAATAGAATGAGTCAGTCGACTGTTCTGAAATTGCAGTCATTGTACTTTGGTGGCATACGTCACTGTGATGCAGTGTCATGCCACCTCTAGTTGTATATATTTCCTAACCAGCATGCTTTACTTCAAGTTATATGCCAGTCAGTCTGCGCAGGAAGTCGAACTCATCTAAAGCTATCTTCTGCTCGTCGTCAAGTTGTATTGACTCGATCTCAATGAAAAAACACCACTTATATAAGAAGCAACAATTTTGTGTAAATTCGCATCATGTGAATCGTACGGAAATGTATGATTTTTAGAAAGAAAAAAAAATGTAAGCAAGGACTACCCCTAACTGCACCCCTAAACCTACCTAACTGTCTGTAGGGCATAAGAAGATTATATGAAAAAAATGAATGAGATTGTACAAATTAGTCATCAATTTGCCGAAATGTAAAATAGATATGAATTGCCATGATTGTATGAAACACTTTTTTTTGCTTTCTTGTGCTGTTCGGAGCTTGACAGCTTCATTCTCCATCCTCTTTCATTGCACGGAGGAGAGAGCAGCTCAGACATTCTGCTAAACATCTTTTTTTGGTGTTTCACAGTCATACAGGATCAACATGAGGGTGAGTAATGATGACAGAAATATGAATGAAGTATTGCTTTAAAAATACTGTTTTTTTTTTCAAGCATACCTGGGCCTTTCTTTATAATCCTGCCATTCTGAAGCTAGATTCTGAATTCCACTTTATCACCCGATTATTTCATGATCTCAAAACAGACTTGACAGCTCAACTGGTGCCTTTTGTGCTGCTTGGCTGTGAGCTGAGTGAACTGTTCAGGAATATTAAATAGCAGTCAGGCTGTTCACACCTGACCTCAAACTGACTTTAATCCACACTTTTCCAATCCTTCGGATGTATTATTGATTTTTATTTGTGCTTCATAATCTTTCTGACAAGAGAGTGAGTGAGAATGCAGGAGGACTGAATGGAAAAGGAGCATGATAAAGAAAGAAAATGTGAGAAGCAAGATAGTGGAAAAAAGTGACACAAGTACTAGGACGGATAGGTCACAGCAGAGAGAAAGATTGGGGATTTTAAAAAAAAAAACAGGTTTCACACAATCTGGCACTGAGCCTTCAGCCAAAGGATTTGGGGGAGGAAGCCTCATGCACCAAAGCCATTTTCCATTCCTTTTCCCCGTCTTTTTTTACGATCTGAGAAAGTAACCTCCAGTTACTCTTAGAGTTTTATAAAAACTGTAAAGTTTCCGAAATCTTTTACAGATGAAACCAGTAAATGACTGCAGAAGTGCAAGTGTTTGAGGACCTCACAACCATTGTAACAAAAGCCTCAAGATATGTGAAATTATGATAGGGGGTGTGTGTTTCCAAGTTTAACTATTGGTTTTAAACTTTGACTCCTGTGTGTTATAAAACTAATAACATGCTTTATGGATACACACAAATATGATTTAACGTTTCCTTTAGGAATCCCCATAACTCTTTCCTCTTCCTGTACACACCATAGGTTGTCAAGCCGGCCTGAGAGTTTGTTGGAAAAGTGTTTGAGACTTTGCCAAAGTTTGCCCTAAGTAACAACTATTATTTTTATTGCTATTAAAACCTCATTCATTTTAATGTGTTTGTATAGTGCAACAGTATAGCCATCTCTATTTTATTCTCTCTTACCCCATATGGTGTTGGTTCAGAATCTCACTCCTTTTAATTTGAGCACCGTTACTTACTGTACTTTTCTACCTTCTCTTTCCCTCTCTTTTTCCTTCCACTCCAATATTGTTCTCTCATCTGTCTTGCAGGTCCCAAGTGATTATTTTCAATGAAAGAGACCCATCTCAGGAGCTCAATGAAGCAGAGAGCATGTGCCGCCAATTCAAGCAATCACGACTGAACCACAAGTGTGCCGCCCATAAATCCAGTGTTGATGACTGCCTGTGTATTTTGCCAAGAGAAAGACTGGTCTCCAAAGGCAAGTCCAACTTCAGCCCCCAAACAGATTATACCTTTTAACCACAGACCTGTATAATGTGTGGATTAGGGCCGGGGCCTTACGGATTTTCAATATTCATACTCATCATAGTGGAAACAGCCCTCTGAGCAGTCACTGAGGATGGAGGAACTTAATAGGAGAGATAAATTCAGCCTTCCCAATGTGCGTAATGTGGAGAGTCACATTCTTAATGCGAGGAGGGATATCGTTTGCACACCAAAGTTAGATTTTGCTTTCTTTTTGGGGAATATTTGAATTGTGACTCTATCTGATGGACTCACCCCTACACACACACACACACACCATGTTGAAAATCATCATTATTTCAAAAGTAAGCGTGCTTTGGAATCAGATAATATTTCTGTATCTGATCATGAATGCCAACAGGCATCACAAGACACCACTGACATTTTGCCGGGCTGGACTGACCTGTAGTTCAAGCAGTCAGCTGTATGAGTGTGTTCGCCTCAGGGGTCTCACACACACACACACATAGATGGACCACAAAACACTAGGGAAAACCCACAAGAAATAGGCAGTTTGACTACTGGAGAGTCATCTTCAAAAGACCCAGGCGTCACTGGCTTCACAGACAGTCATGGCCCAAATCAGTGCCTCTCTCTTTAATGTGAGAGCAGGATGGAAAATTCATTGTAGTACGTCCGAGAACATCTTAAAAACAGTTTAGAGAGTCTCGAATGAAATTAAAAGATGAGTTTAAGGTTCTAGGCTTTGAGTGTCGTCCCCGAGTGCACATCCATGAATGTAAATTTGGAATATTACCTCTTTTAGTGGGAGTACACCAGCTAGGATGACGGCATCTGAGGAGTATTTCACACACACACACACACACACACACACACACACACACACACACACACACACAAATCATTATCATATTTCATGGGTGCTCGACATTTCAAAATGTCTCATGGAACCAAAAAATGAATAAAGTGATTTAGCCCATAATTACAAGTGCCTGGTTTTCCGATTTTAGTTGCAGAGGGTAACAGGCGTTTGGTGTAGCAAATGTATTTTACAGTCTGTGGAAAATAGTTGATTAAAGTTAATGACCGAATGCGGCATCTCAGTTACTGTAGTTCAGCTTTAGCCTTGAGCTAGCACTGATGTACAAACCAGTGACTGTACTGAGAAATCGAGCATATCGAGATTCTACTCAAAATGGCAAAGGCAAAGAGGAGAGAGAGACACAAGGCCAATGTACAATTTCACAGAAATATCTTTTGATAAAAAGGAATCTGTTACCACACAAGACTGGGCTTGAGAATAAAGTGAAGACTAAGTTGACAAGGTTTTTATTTTTATTAACACTGCAAAAAACATCCTGTGGTAAAACAAACAAACAAACAGCATAAATTCATAAATTACAGCAGAAAGCCAGACATTCACTGCAGAAATATGGCAACAATGTTTACCTTTTTCTGTTTTTCACT